CCCGCCACAACGCCCAGCTATTTTTTGGTTGTAGCCATCATTGTTGTTTTGGCGGCCCAGGCTGGATTCGAAACCACCACCTTAGGTGTATGTGGCTAGCGCCTTAGCCGCTTGAGCCACAGGCGTTAAGCCGAATATAAACGTCTTAACACAATAACTAAGAAAATGCGGTGAAGGCTATGTTAACCAGTTTAAGAAAAATACTTCAAATTGTATATAAAACCAGCACATTGTACCCCATGATGACATTAATGTACACAGCTATGATTTAATAAAAAATAAAAAGTAATAAGAGAAAATCTAAAAAGCATCCAGAGAAAAAAGACATGGAAAACAGAGAAACATAATATGTAAAATTTTGTCTATTAAAGGGGTATTCCTTAATTTTTTTTCTTATGTTAGTTTATAATCACTTCAGTTAAAGTGACCCCATCTGGACATCTATGGTTCTGATATATTATGATCATGACCAGGCATAGTTTTTCATTGTTCAACAATAGCCAAAAAAATTCTTAGATCATTCATGTAATAATAACATAGAAAAGAAAAGTAACTAAAATATATATTTTTCAAATTTTGTTTTTAAGAAATCTGATTCTTAACAAACATTTATAATTAGATACAGCATTACTGAAATTTTTAGATATTTTTAGAAAGCCTTACAACTAGTCTTTTTCCAGAACCAAGTTTTTGCTGTTCGATCTCCTGCTTTTTATCTGCATCCGTTGCAAAAGCGAGTACTTGGTACCTGTATTAAAGATAAGAAAAAAATTATAAATGACTCTATAATTTAAAAGTATAAATTATTTTAAATTTTAAAAGCCCATAATCTATAATTTAAATCACCTTTTCGTTGATTTAAAAAACTGTAAAATTTGAGATTGAATTCTCATTGAATGATATCATGAAATGAGACTGCGCAGAGCTGTGATGATAAAGAAATTGTAACTGTATGACTCACTATTCAACACTGGGAAATTGCTCTAGCAGCTATAAAAGCAGTTCCATTAAAATTTTATGTGACAAACAACAATGAATAAGAAAGACCTAGTACCTAAACACCAAATAGACCGAAAAACATAATGCAAAGCAGTCAGATGTAAAAATTATTAATACAAAATCTATAGGACCAAGAAAAACTGAATTTAATCCCCAGATAAACCACTTACTAGCTGAGTAAATTTTGGCAATTAATCGCTCTGTGTCTAGCTTCCTCATCTATAAAATAGAAATAATAATCTGTAACTCAAATATTATTAAAAGGATCAAAGAATAAATTATAAAAAGTTCCTGGTATATACCAATATCTGGTATATATTTGGTGCACAAATATTTATTGATAGACAAAGAAACAGATACAGATTTATACGTAAATAGAGATCAATCATCTAATAGTTTATCTGGTATGTACATGAGTTCCCTTTTTTTTTTTGGCCAGGGCTGGGTTTGAACCCACCACCTCTGGCATATGGGGCCAGTACCCTACTCCTTAGAGCCACAGGCACCACCCGGTACATGAGTTCTTAATTTAATAATGGGCATTATGACCTATAAGTATTTTATAGGTCATATAAATAGCTTCTATTTCAATAGTGACATTTAGTGCAAATCATTCTAACAACAATTTATAAGTATCATCTAATCCAGAAATGATTAATTTAGCTAATAAAGTTGAAATTTCTATATTTTCCATTAATTAATGGTTTGGGTTTTTTTAATAATTATAGTCTAAATGAAGAAACTACAGGTTCACAGATTCCTTTCCCTCCTACTAAATCAACATTCCTTGCATTGTGCCGCCACAGCTAGGAGAAATATTTTAAAATAGATGTATTCAGACACATCATACTATCAAAAAGAAAGATGTCTGAGAGTATAAATAATCAAGGACACGAATGAATGAATGAAGGCAATGTGAAATACTTAAATAAACATTAAAATGTACAGTGGTATTAATCTGTTATATACCAATTCTGAAACCACCCTATCTCAAACAGATTTACAAATTCATTTGTAAAAATCTTCCAACTTCAGATGGAGAATCCTCAAAGAACTCAAATTCCATTTGATCCCACAATCTCATTACTAGGCATCTACCCACAAGAAAAAAATCATTTTATTATAAGGACATTTGTACTAGATTGTTTATTGTAGCTCAATTTATAGATGTCAAGAAGTGGAAACAACCTAAATGCCCATCAACCCAGGAATGGATTAACACACTGTGGTATATGCATACTATGGAATACTATTCACCCATAAAAAGATGAGACTTTACATCTTTTGTATTAACCTAGATGGAGCTGAAACACATTCTTCTTAGTAAAGTATCACAAGAATGTAAAAGCAAGTATCCAATGTACTCAGTACTAATATGAAGCCAGTAAATAATCTAATACATGCCCACATAAGAGAAAAACTCAATGCAATTCAGGCCAAGGATATGATGTGGGGTGAGAGGGCAGGAGGAGTGGGATGGGTGTTCCCCCACTCAATGGGCACAATGTAAGGGTCTATGGCACACCTTCGGGGTGCAGGACACAACTACAAGAGGGACTCTACCTAATAAATGCAAACCCTACAACCTAATTGTTTGCACCCTCACATTAACCTAAAATTTTTTTAAAACCTAAAAAATAAAAATCTTCCAACTTCAGTTGGATACTGAATTACTATGAATTAAGACATAAGACAGTCTTCTCAAGGCATAGTATCTGGTAACAAACTTACAATACCCTACATAAAGTCAGACTTATAGTTAATATGAATATTTAATGTAAATAAATTTCCCTCATTCCATATGTATATAGTAGGAATCTAAAACAAATGTTAACAATGGAAAAAAAATGCTACATGATCTGTACTTATCAGGAGCTCCCATACTATCTGTGGAAATTAATACATAGACAACTAAGTATAACTCACAGGACCCTGTGCTAATTAATAGAAGGTATACACACAGGACCAATCAAACAGAAACATGTAATTGAGATGGAAGATAGGTTCTTGGTATAGGTTAGGAAGAGAAAGCTAAGTTTCAAGAATGAGTGGAAATTCACCATCCTGGTAAAAAGGGAGAAAGCATGACAAAATAAATAGCATGCAATGGCATCCAACAGTAAAAAAGACATGAAAGGCTATGACAGGAATTCAAGAGAGCTATGTGATGGGGAAGAATGAGTCACAGGACCCATGATATAGGACGATCTCAGCCTTATAAAAATAGGCAGCTGCATCAAAGCTCTCTATATCATGCAACACTGACCTTCAAAATCCCAAATACTTCAAAAGTGCTAATTAAATGACCCTTACAGTCTGACCTCCACAAAAGAGTATTTTCCTACTCTCAGTTCATACTAACAGAAATATAGTACACGTAGGTGACTAAAACATCATCCTTAAGTTGGTCCTGCTATGAATCTAACCTCAGGCAATTAATCACATAGGTGGTTCATTTCCTGCAGACACCAACCCACCAGAAGATTACATCCATATTAATGTGACTGTTGCAAAAATTCAAAGTTCTTTGAGCTGCGTGAATCTTCTGACTACAAAGAGTTATTATTTCATCTGAGGAATAGGTTAGCCCGTAAGTGGCCTCATTAACATTAAAACGGAGGCAGCCAAAATTGACTACTGATTTCCAAATCCGGACCATTTTTCTTCCTGGAAGACAACTCAGAAGAGTATTTTATTACTTTAACATAACTGACAGCAAAGTTAGATGGTGACAAATTTACAACAGTATCTAGTTTATGGTTCCTCCTTAGCTTATAGTAACTGTGACCCAGAATGTACATAAAAACCTATTTCTTAAACTAAACAATGTCAAAAAGCTTTGGAAATCTGAAATAAAGAAAACACCTGGATCTTTTTCTTACCACGCAAGTGTTCTGTGATGTGAGCTAAAGAATAAAATTCCCTTGTTGAGACTGCTAAAAGAATAACCGGGCTCAATGTAACAGGATTTTATGAAAAGTGCCATATGTGTTTCTCAGAACAGACCAGCACTAATCCCAAATGCAACAAGTCCATAGAAACAATGGTGCTTTTTGACCCACTAGTCACAAATGTTTAACAGGGCCTACAGTGCACCAGTAACAAAGTCAACCATATAATTTAGTGCTCTTCCATATGCATCATAAAAATAGCAGCAAGTGGGCAGCGTCTGTGGCTCAGTGAGTAGGACTCTGGCCCCATATACCCAGCGTGGTGGGTTCAAACCTAGCCCTGGCCAAACTGTAACAAAAATAGCCAGGCCCTGTGGTGGGCTCCTATAGTCCCAGTTACTCAGGAGGCTGAGGCAAGAGAATCACCTAAGCCCAAGAGCTAGAGGTTGCTGTGAGCTGTCATGCCACAGCACTCTACTGAGGGGGACAAAGTGAGACTCTGTCTCTTAAAAAAAAAAAAAGAAAAAGAAAAATAGCAGCAAGTAACTAAAATGCAGATTGAGGTATCACAAAGAATAAAAGTAAACCCTCTGAAAATCGTTTATTTTCACATGAAACATAACTATCACTTCAAAGGATACCAGGAGGTTGTGAAACCTTGATATGTAACCCAGAGAACTTTAGCAGCAGAAATGCAAGCTCTGGGTACAGAACATTATTGCAACTATAGCTAAAACATTCTAGACTATGCCAAGGAGAATCACTTTCATTGAAAGAGGACAGTAACAAAACAGAAGCTTTCCTGATACACTTTTCACTCTTTCTTCAAGTTCTTGTTAAACACCTACTCTTAGCAAGGTACAGTGCAAGGGGACTTCACGGGATGCAAAAAAATCCTGCTATCAAAAAGAAAAGTCAAGTCACAAAGAAAAGTAACAAGCAAATATGTATCACTGAAAGTAGGAATGGTACTTAAGGGGAGAACTGAAAAACTCCATGAATTAAGAAGAAAAATGTTTGGAAATGAATCACTTCATAATGAAATGAATTATTCAATCAGCGAACAGAAGTTTAAGACAGATTCTGCTATCAGGAACTTGATAATGCAAGACATACTCTGGAATATTCCAGTACAATACAAGAAGGTGATACATACCAGTGAGCACAAAGGGTGTTTTGGGCAATAATACATCTAGAAGGTGAAAAAGGGAAGATGGTTGCACTAGTTAATCCCTTCCAAGGCTCAGCGCCTGTAGCTCAAGCGGCTAGGCCACCAACCACGTACACCAGAGCTGGCAGTTTTGAATCTAGCTCAGGCCTGCCAAACAACAATGTCAACTACAACTAAAAATAACCAGGTATTGCGGCAGGCACCTGTAGTCCCAGCTATTTGGTAGGCTGAGGCAAGAGACTTGCTTAAGCCCAGGAGTTTGAGGTTACTGTGAGCTATGACACCATAGCACTCTACCCAGTGCGAAAGCCTGAGATTCTGTCTCAAAATAAAAAAAAGGAGTCCCTTCCAAATCTGAAAGTCCACATCATAGAGGTAAAATAGGACTGCTACTATAAATCATATTGAATGTCAATATAAGAAAGTCTAAATTTCTAAATGGGAAATTAAAATTATCCTGGCTTAAAGAAGTGTTTCAAAAGGACAGATGTGAAAAGCACTCTTCAAAGTTTAAATTAGAGGTAAAACAAGCAAAAACCAAGAAATCCAAGTGAAAAGATAAAGATCTGAACCAATGGGAATGGGAAACAAGAGCTAAATAAGAAGAATTATGGGTAGAAAGCGCAGGGTTTAATGACTAAGAAATTCTCATGGGTAAAGGAAAGAAAAAGAGAAAAAAAGATGATCCAAAGTTTGGATACACATGGCCCAGTGAACAACGGTACCAAAGCCCTGCCCCCTTCCCCCCAAAAAGGGCAAACAGTTTTCTCACTTCAAAAGAAAAACAACACTCAAAGTGTGCCCCTGAATTATAATCACCTGAAGTATACATTTACTATAAAGATTTCTGAGTCTGATCCCCAAACATATTGAATCAAAATCTAGGGGAGTAGGGATTATGATCTGTAAATATACGTTTTGTAATAGACTGCCCAGGTGATTCCTACACACACTGAAGGCTAAGACTCATAGCTTTTACTAGGTCCTACTTAAACATAATTGAGCTAGGTTTAAATTATGAATATCAAAAATGAAAATAAATCAAGTCCTAAAAGTCTATTCTATTAACTGATTACAGTCTATTAACTGTATATAGACAGATTTACTGAAGACTCAAAAGAACAAACCCATAGTTTTTATTCTTTTCTCCACTCTAAATTGTACCAGTGATTATCATTTAATATAATCTGTAAACTTGAAAGCTTATTTAAGTGCAATATGCTACCTAATGTTATAAACCCTCATGATTGTCATTATTTCACAATAATCACATCTCATGCATTTTGACCATTATGAAAAGTCCACATAATGGATAAAACATACATATTTTAGTCTCAGATAAAGATGAATTTAATAGATTGGTATGTTGGAGAATTACCACAGTTAAAACAATGGGAGCTTTTGTGAGATTAAACTCACACATTAAGGAAACCTACACATTGCTTCCTCATCTAATCATTCCTGTGGAGTTATTATCAAATTCCTCTGCACATATTTCAAAGAGTAAGTAATTGAGTATTTAAATCTTTGTATTGCAGCCCTAGTATAGCACTATTTGGCAGGAGGAAGGCCCAAAACTTGATGGAAAGCTGAAAAGCAGATCCCCTCAATATCCCTGAAGTTTTGGCAGGCTTGAGTAAATTATATAGATATTTTTCTCAACCTCTCAAAATGAACATAATATTTTATTTATTACCAGTAGCAGTGCTACAATTCATTCATCTCCTTTGGAAAAGAGCCACAGGAGTTATAAAGGGAATGTGACATGATGATACATTACCTCCATCAGTTAACTTCTGCTTAGTCACAAACATTCACTTATTTTCAGAGTTTTAAACCCTACGTGACTGAACAATCATTCATGAAGGTAGATGGACATATGTGAATGGAAGACTCCGTTAGTTTGCTGTATACACAATACTAAAACTTAAAGACAAAAATTTATAACTGTTGCCTGATGAATGTATATTTTCTTCCCACATGGGAAAAATTGTGTGGCCAAAAATAATGCTCTAGAGCTATGATGATGTGATAGTTAGATATTTTAAGCTCTAAATGTTGCCATCAGTAAGATAATACAATAAAGTTACTGAAGATATGGAAACCCTCAAAGTCTATTTCTTTTCTCAGCATGAATTTCTGCTCTCTTCTCCCCATTCTCTCTGCCAACGAAAAAACATACTCTCCAAAAACTCAAAACTTTAACTTTTATTGAAACCTAGCTGGCAGAGAAGAAAATGGTCTCTCTCATACACAATTCACCAAGATCAATAAGAAGTTCCAGCAGAAAGTATAAATTATATTCATAGGGTCATTTTCATACCTCACCTCGATTTGAATTGGTTTTTTCTAATAATTAACATTTATGACACTTACAGTTAATACCAATATTTTTCCTATGTCACATACATTCTCTTTTGTTATAAAATCATGCAACAGATGCATGTTCGATTTGACTTTTTTCACTCAACATTGTGTTTTATTATTTATTATATCAAGAAACAGTCACAATAATGATTGAGCATTTTCAATGAGGTAGCAACTTGACATACATTTAATAATACCATATAATAAGCTTGTCAAAATGAGTGGTATCACCTCCTTTAGAGGAAGATAAGGACACTGACAATCAAACAACTATTAATAGCAAAATCAGGATTCCAAGACAGGTCTTCCTTTTCCTCACAAATCACTGCACCATCCTGACTTCCAAATATTCTACAGTAGTAAATCATATGCTCTAAGTCTCCCCAAGTATCAAAGAAACCAGTCTCTTTTTCATTTGTAATATTCAAGCCCTTTATGGGAAAAATTAATCAGCAACATATATGTCAAAAAAATAATGAGTCCAAAGATTTACACCCAAACTTACTTATAACTTTCCACTAGTCGGCAGGAAGAGACAGTAATGAAGGAATCCGTACGGGAACTATAAGCAAGAGGGCCAGGCAGAAGAGAACCAGGGAGAAATCTGCCAAAAGCATAGCTTTCTTGTTCAAACACCATCAGCATCCCATCCATAGACTGGATACAAATTAAATCTCGACCTAAAAAATAATTAGAGGAAATTAGGCGATCTATTTATCTTTATAAATATAATGTATGTGTCATTATCCACAACAAATATATTTCATAGCTAATGTCTTCCCCATGGGTAAAAATGGGTAGTTTAAATTTTAAATTATAAACCAATGAAGAAAATCCCTGAAACCATGACTGTAAGATATCATTTCTTCCAACTCAGAACTATAACAAAAACTGTTCTTTATGGAACTACCTTCTTCATAGCATGTCAGTCTCAGACTTCCAAAGGGCTTAAACATCAGTCAAATACAATACACCACATTCACAGGCATGCTGTGGAAACCAATTCTCTATAAGTTTTAAGCAATATTGAGAGTGAAAAACACCAATACTGAAAACCGCTAATCCATAAATGCTCTATAGACTGATTTTGAGTGTCTTCTACTATCAGTCTTTCAATACTAAGTGTGATATTCACAGTTCTTAAGTACACTAACATGATGTTAATGATGACTTCTGATATAATACAATCTTTCCCTAATCTAAGAAAAATCTACTAGCTCTAACTTTTCATGTTCTGCTAGCGTGATTAGTGTTTCCTATAATTTATTATATATGGAAAAACTATGCCAAAGAAAAATTAAGCTACTCATTAAGGGAATAAATAAAAAGCCAACTGTCAAATCTGTCATCTCTAGACCATACTTAGCATATACAGCAAGTCCTGTAGTAACCTTTCTATGTTACCTTGGATATCAATGACAATCTTATATAATATATTTAAATTGTAAAGAGTGAATTTACTCAAAAAGAAATTAAATTGCATAGAAATAGATAATATTCTTATCTAGGGACAAGGGCTCACACCTATAATCCTGGTACCCTGGAAGACAGAAGCAGGAGATTACTTGGTTCAGGAGTTCAAGATCAGTCTGAGCAAGGGCAAGACTCCGTCTCTACTAAAAATGGTGACAAGGGCCTGTAGACTCAGCTATTCCGGAGGCTAAGGTGGGAGGATCACTTGAGCCCAGGAGTTTGAGGTTGCTGTGAGCTAGGCTGAGGCAATGGCACTCTAGCCCTGGCAACAGAGCAAGGTTCTATCTCAAAATAAAAGAAGAAAAGAAAAAAGATGATCTTCTTAGAGTTGTATTTGATTAAGGACAATTATACAACTGGGAAATTTTATTTAAAATATATTGCTAAAGGAGTTTTTTAAAAGAGAAAAAAACAGATTTGAGGTTTCTTATTACTGTAATATTTAATCCATCTTGACTGATACAACTTTAAATAACCTGAAAAATACTCTAGGATAAACATTGTCTCAACAAATGAATGTTCACTAAACACACATCTGAACCATTCAGGGATTCTTTAGAGACATAAGAATTGTTTATATTAATGCTGTTTGAAAAGTATTCTCTTAATACTCAGATTCTTTTATAATGCCTGGTATGTTCCACAATTACTATTTTAAGTTTTCTTTTTTAAATCTAATCTTTATCCTGTCTCTGGCCCTATCACCCTAAGTGCACCCGATCTTATCTAGCCTTTATCCTCTATGTTATTAAAGGTTGTTAAAAGAGATGTGATTTCAGATGCATTCTATATGTTTATGCATGCTGTACACATATATTTACAGAGACACATTCAGACAAAGAGTATCTCATTTAACTATCTGGCAGTCCCACTTGTCTAAGACCAAAGTATAAAACTGCCTCTGAGTAGTTGGAACAGATGCTGCAAGGACTTTGTAATGAAAATCAAGTGAACTTTTTGTAGGTAGGATTCCCAGGTCTCACTCAGGACATCTATTCTTAATTACAGTTCTAACAATTATACTTGTTATAAACAGGTTACTGATATTACTGTAGCTTCAACCTTCTCAGTTGTAAATGACTACATTTGTATAAGAGCTCCAAGGTTATCAATTAATCTTTAGCAAAGGCACCAAGAATACACAGTGGGGAAAGGACAGCCTCTTCAATAAATGGTATTGGCAAAACTGGATATCCACAGTCCAAAAAATGACACTGAATCCTTATCTTACACCATACGAGAAATCCACTCAATGTGGATTAAAGATTTAAACCCTAAGACTTGAAACTGTAAAACTCCCAAAAGAAAACATATGGGAAAAATTCCATGACATCAGTCTTGGCAATGACTTTTTTAGATAGGACACCAAAAGCACAGGCAACAAAGCAAAAATAAACAAATGAGAGTACATCAAGCCAAGAAGTTTCTGCACAGCAAAGGACACAGTCAACAAAATGAAAAGGCAATACACAAAATGAGATCCGATATTTGCGAACCACATAGTATTTGAGAAGAAATTAATCTCTAAAATATATAAGAAACTCATACAACTCAATAGCAAAAAACTAAAAAATAACCCAATTGCAAAATGGATTTAGACCTGAATAAATATTTTTCCAGAGAAGACATACAAACAGCCAACAGGAATATAAAAAGGTGCTCAACATCACTAATCAGCTAACAGGGAAATGCAAATCGAAAGAAATCTTGTCATTTGCAAAAACACAAATGTACATAGAGGACATTATGCTAAATGAAACAAGCCAGATGCAGAAAAACTATTACTGCATGATTTCACTTGTATGTGAAATCTAAAAAAAGTCAAATTCATAGAAACAGAAAGTAGAACTGTGGTGGTTTCCAGGGGTCAGAGGATGGGGAAAATGAGGAAATGGTCAAAAGATATAAACATACAGTTATGAGATGAATAAGTTCTAGAGACCTAATACACAGCATGGTGACTACAGTGAATAATAACGTATTGTACACTAGAAATTTCCTAAGAGAGTTGATGTTAAATGTTCTCACCACAAAAAAAAAAGAGACAACTATATGAGACAAGTGATATGCTAATTACCTTGACTCACATTGTACATCTTGAATATATACAATTTTTATCTGCAATTAAATTGCAATAAAGCTGGAAAAAAGGAGTTCCAAAGTTACAAATAACATGTTAAAGTTTCTAACCGATGGCACATATAAGGCACACAATAAATTATAGCATTTTATGGGGGCTATTACTACTTGCTTCCCCAGCCCAGAAAGAAGAAAGTAACAAATTAGAAAAGGGGTGATGACACTGTCAGCTACGAGCAGTGACAGTCAATGCCTCACCAAAAAGGCAGAAAATAGAACAACTATAGAATACATATCAAATAATTCAAATAAGAACATCAGTCCAGGCTCTGTTAGCACAGGAGCAATTACTAGCCTTGCATACCTCAAAAAGAGAAATGCCATATTCTATAAGGAGTTATTAAGTGAATTTAACATAGTTTGATATAGTTTATTCATATGCAAAAAGATGTTGTAGCAGAGCAGCTAACTCCACCCTCTAATAGCCATTTCTTTCTTTAGTACTGAAATCATAAATCATCATTAGACACGTGGCCATCCATAATAAAGCCTACACTTACAGTCCTATGTTTACAGATACATCAGATGATTACATTCTCGTCAATGAGACAGGAGCAGAGGTTATATGTACAACTTCTAGGCACAGAAGGACGGGGTGTGACCCTGCTCCCTTCTTCACAGCACAAGGGGAGGGCTGGAGCAGCCACACACTGAGGACAACAGAGCTTCTCTAGCAGCCCTAGACTCTGTTAACTCCAAGTGGTTGAACATGAAAGAAACATCTTCCTTATTTAAGTCATCATTAAATTGGGTCTTGTTAAAGAGACCAAATCTATATCTTAACATAGATCTTATTTGAGCCTAAAGATCCATTCAGTACTACTGCCTCTTAAAATCTAGTTTCACTTAACTGTATCTTGGTCTCAAAAACAAACAGGGATAGAAGGCAAATTTGGAAAACTGGGGAAATTTGAATACGACTACACATTAGATAATACTAAAGAACTATTGTTAATTTCATTAAGTGTGATCATGATGTTATGACAACGTAAGAGAATACTATTATTGAAAAAAGTGGGCTTGGAGCCTGTGGCTCAAGTGGCTAAGGCGCTAGCCACATACACCTAAGGTGGCGGGTTCAAATCCAGCCTAGGCCCGCCAAACAATAATGACAGCTGCAACCAACAAATAGCCGGGTATTGTGGCAGGCGCCTGTGGTCCCAGCTACTTGGGAGGCTGAGGCAAGAGACTCACTTGAGCCCAGGAGTTGGAGGTTGCTGTGAGCTGTGATGCCACAGCACTCTACCCAGGGAGACAGCTTGAGGCTCTGTCTCAAAAAAAAAAAGAAAAATGTGTGCTGAAGTACATATAGGTGAAATGGTACAAGATCTATATGTTCCTTTCAAAAGGTTTATCAAAAAAGAAAGTGTATATATATGTAAATATATATATACATTTACAACTGTTGACTCCAGATGGTGGAAATATAGATGTTCTTGTTACTTTTTTCTATATACTTTTTCACAAGAAAAATGTAGAAAAATAAAGTGTTTAAATATATACATTTTGTATATGAAATACTTATACAATGACCTTGACCTATGGTAGAGCATATTAATGGTAACCAAAATATGCTATTGATATTTATATTATTAAAAACTCAGGGAGGCACCCATACCTCAGTGATTAGGGTGTTGGCCACATGCTCTGGGGCTAGTGGGCTCGAACCTGGTCCTGACCTGCTAAACACAAAAGAAAAAACAATAGCTAGGCATTGTGGTGGGCACTTGTAGTCCCAGCTACTAAAGAGGCTGAGGTTGGCTCGGTGCCTGTGGCTCAAGTGGCTAAGGCACCACCCACATACACCTAAGGTGGCAGGTTCAAATCCAACCTGGCCCTCCAAATAACAATGATGGCTGCAACCAAAAAAATAGCTGGGCATTGTGGCAAGCGCCTGTGGTCCCAGCTACTTGGGAGGCTGAGGCAGGAGACTCACTTGTGCCTAGGAGTTGGAGGTTGCTGTGAGCTGTGATGCCACAGCACTCTACCCAGGGGGACAGCTTGAGGCTCTGTCTCAAAAAAAAAAAAAAAAAAAGGAGGCTGAGGCAAGAGAATCACTTGAGCCCAA